ATTTTATTAAGTAAATACTTTTAATTTTAAAATTTTATAAATTAACATTAAATTAAAACACATTATCATTAATTTATCATATTTATAAAATTTTATATATTTAATTTAATTTAATTGAAATTAATTATAATGATATATTTATAAATAATTTAGTAAAATAACATTTTTTAATTAAAAATATTTTAATTATTAAACTTATAAATTTAAACATTTTTTTTATTTTTCCTGTGGATTAAAATTGGTAGGAAAATCTGCAAGAAAAACTACCTGCAAAATTTTTCTACCATTTAGTAAACATTACTTGGTTTTTATTTTTACAAGAAAATATGCAAGAAACAAAATAAAATTCTTACAATATTTTTTGTAAATTTTTACCATGGAAAAAAATTTCTATGATCATTAAAATTGTAGGAAAATTTACAAAAATTTATCGTAGATTATTTTTCATAAAAAAATTTATAAGAAATATCTATAAATTATTTTTTGGAAATAAATTCATAAAAAAAATTTATGAAATTATTATTACAAGAAAATTTGCAAAAAAATTCTGCGAATAATTTTTTATAGGAAAATTCGCCAAAAAAATGACACTTTTCTAGTAGTGATAGATGTTTGATGATAAATGGAATCTTCGAGATGTGCTCCTACAACCTGTTCTCCTCCTTGAGCTCTTGGGTTCAAAGAGAAAAAGAAGCGAGAAGTGCAAAGTGACTCTCCCTATTTTCAAAACTTCCCCTTTTTAAAATCAATTTCCTTCATTTAATTAAATAAAACAATTATAAAATAAAATAAAATAAAATAGATTACCTAAAATGATATAACTTAACCCATATTTTCTCCAAACAATATATATATCATATTTTCTCCAAACAATATATATATATATATATATATATATAACAAAATAATTCTCACAAACCTTTCCTTAAAACATTTTGATTATTTTCAACAAAAAAATTTATATATTTAAAAGAACACATCATTATTTTAAAAGACCCTACATTATTTCATAAAACGCATTAAATTAACTTAAAATATTTTTATTATTTTTAGAAAACTTGGGGTAATGATTGGTAGAAGTGGTTGTATGAGAAGGTTGTGTATCATTAATAATGTGTTTTGAGAAATCTAAGTTATGCCTAGCCATTTGTAAAATTCTAAGCATAGACCTTAACCATTTGATAAGATTGAGTAAGAGATTTAGCAACTTGTGTTTAAGATCAAGTCTAGGACTTGGCAAGTATGTAACAAATTGTGATATGATGTGAGTTGTGATTTATTGTAAGAATGCTTCAGCCATGCATAACTTTTGTTTTATTTTTGGTGAACAAATTCAAATATGGAGGTCCATACAATCATCTAATATGAAACGCCGCAAATCATGTTAATTTGAGGAGGTTTTTAAAACCCCCGTAAAATAACCCCCACTAAATAATATTTTTTTTAGTGATTTAAGCAATCAACATAGACACACCCTTTAACATAGTACTCATCTTCAACCATTGGGAAAGTCCTATGGCTGATCCATTGGAAGACTTATGCTTTTGTTGAAAGTAGGAGATTGTGGATGGTGGGTTACCACGAGTAGGTTTGCAATGAGAGTAGCCTCATGTAGAAATTGCCACCTTATTAGTTTATTCAATGTTAGTAAGCATCAAAATCTTCTTGCACTAAGTTGAGGCTCAACCGAGCAACCACAACTTACGTGCTTACTTATATGCAACAATAATTATGCATTATGTATGAACAGAAACAATTCATATCAATACATAATTCATCAAATAAAATAGAGTATTTCATCTCAACAAAAACCACATAATTCAATCCATTAACAAGAGATCCATCAAGTAGCCTATTACATTTTAAAAAAATCCCAATAGTTGACTTCCATTCTAACGTCAACATCTTTGGTCAACCATCTCAATTATTTAATCAACAAAGGAAGATGAACCTTTTTAATAAACTTTAGAATTCAAAATAAAGGTCATAACAGAGAAGTATGGCTTTGCGAGGTGAAACTCGCTAAGCGAATTTAAGGTAGAAAGCTCAATTATTTCCTGGTCAAGGTTCACTCAATGAGAGGTATCTTTGCTCCATGAACCTCCATGAATTCAAATCCTTGCTAAGCAAAGACATTCTTTACTTAGCAAATCTAATGTTGGTCAGTGGAAATCTACCAAAGAGCACCCTTGTTTCCTTATCCCATTTTCATACAGCGACTAGAACTCATGCTCAACAAAAATGATAGAACATCTGTACAAGAAGACTTATAATATCTCCTCCAAGCTTCTAATTTTTAAAATATTCAAAGACAGAGCATCCTGCTTTTTTTCATTTTGAACCATTTTTCAACTAAAATGATACAATTACAACATCACAATCCACCAAATATTGGAAAACAACACACTGTCATACAACTTATACAATTAAAATTCATTAAAAACAACACGTACAACTTATGGTTTACAAACTCCATGATGGTTCTACTTCAACATCTCAACAAAACTATAATATTTTAGTTCATACCAATGTCAACAGAAACATACAATTAAATGAGTTCCCTTTACTTCTTACCATCTTAGACTATAGAGAAGAGACACTAAAAAAAGATTGAAATAGTGTCAATCAAAAACTCAATATTTTTTTAGATAGCAAAGTAGTAGCAAGATCTTAAAAGTATAGACAAAGAGTAAAGTAAGAAAAATACAATATTTTTATATTGGTTCGTCACAACTACTGAAACTACGTCCAATTCTTGATCTATCCAATCAAGTTTCACTATCTTTCATAAAGATACAAGTATTCTTTCACAAGTCACTTCTAGCTCAACTTAAATGTTCTTTGACTTGTCTCTTCAATTAACTACCCAAGTATTTTTTTTTCAACACAAAATCTCTCCAGATTTCAAATTGCCGAGTATTCTTTTAACACAGTCTCTCCAAGCTTCAAATAACCAAGTATTCTTTCACAAATAAGTCTTTATAGGCTCAAAGCAATAACACAAAGTTAAAACTGAATAAATGACAATATTATTTCATTTTACTATCAATATGTGATACAATCAATTAAGTACAAGGTTTCTTACAAAAAGAAATAATATATTTTTACAATGAAATGTATCTAAATGGCACATGACCAAAAGTTTGAGGGGGTAAATTGGGATTCTTTTACCAGAAAAAGATCCTTAAAAGCAAGAATGACTAAAATACTTTGTATCTTTTTAACTCTTTAGGAGCAACAATTTATAAGGCACCATGTAATATATGGTGAAAAACTAGCACAGCTATTTCAAAAATCTCAAATTATATAGTAGAAGCAACTTTGTATCACAAAGCAAGAAAAATATTAAGTCAAAATAATGGGACTTGACTAATTGCCAGAATCTCACCTTCAAAACGACATCTAACAAGCAAGCTGTAGCTGTTTTGGATACTGACAATCTTTGGAAGGCCTCCAACTTTAGCTGCATGGACAAACTCCATCACTCCATATGAAGTCTCATTTGAAACACCTATGTAGCGTACCTGGTGCACATAGAAATCTCAAGAAACTGAATCCCTTTCACATGCATAAGAGAGTAAACATGATATTGTGATCAGAATATTCGAATTTCACATTACAATTGCCACAAATGTCATGAAAAAATAAGGAGAGGAGACATTCAATCCTAGCTTGATTGGACTGGAAGGTTATGGGTTTATACTGACCATTGAGAGAAGTAAAATAGTTTGTCTTCATTTACAGGCTTGTAATATGATGAGACACTTGAAAGCAAAGTAATCTATAAAAGTGATATGGCCATCTCATCCCTCTTGTCCAATCAAAAACTGAGAGACAAACAATTTATTCTACCACTCCCAAACTGCATTTCTCCATCAAGCATGCACTAAAACTTAGCAAAAGAAAGTTACAAATTACAAGTATAATAGTAAATATCAATAACTTCAGTTGGAATAAAAATATTTAGCAAATACAAAACCCTGCTCAGTTTCTCCAAGCCAAAACCAACATAAATCATTAGAACTCTTTAGAAATCTGGAAAAAGCTTAACCATAAAATAAATTGAAAGAAATCAACCACCTTTCCTTCATTGATAAGTTCTTGAAAAGCTTGCAACTGCTCAACAAACGGCACACTGGACCTCCAGTTTGAAGAATCATAGAAAAACTCACCAAACAATGCAACATATCGATCTGGCCTATAATGAAGCACAACATCATATATTTAGAAAATAGTTCAAACATTTTAGTCCTCTGCCTCAAGAAACTGCAATTTGTCTGCTTGCACATCAGGTAAATATTCAAAATGTATAACACTCCAGTTTGTATTAATAATCAAGATCACATTTTAGGTCAAGTACAAGTGTTGTAAAACTAGTATAAATCTGACCCAATATCACTACCAACATATCGGGAGCCTTAGAGACAAATGAGCCATTTGCCTAATATAAGAAATTCGCTTACTTGTTCGGCATCCCTCGCCTACTATTTTCAGCCTCTGTCGTATATCAAACAAACTTATCATAAATCCTAAGGACCGGAAAATACTAGATCAAGATTTCAAAGCGTTCTGTTACACAAGATCCTCATAAAGAAGCGAGTATAGAGCATACTTGCTTAGCTACTAAGAACATAATATCATAATAGGATCAAGAGCTTTCGAAAGAGAGGAAGAGAGGTTTAGCAATCCATGAGTAGTAAACACAAAGAAGTTTTTATTCAAACTCGACTTTTTTTTTTTTTTTTTTAGTAAACACAAAGAAGTTTTTATTCAAACTCGACTTGGTTACAGACGAAAAGAGTGCCTCCTTATATAGACTTGGAGGGGATCTCATATGACTTACCAACTACGAACATTTTACACATGGGCCAATTCTAATTGGCTGACTAAAAGATGCTTTCAGTAAAGGACCCTCGTGGGGTGTGCCTCATACAATCAGACAGATTATTATGACTCAGACGATAAGAATGAGTACAAACAAAGGACCTACATGGTCATGACTCATATAAAATACAAGCTATCGTACACACATATTACACCACTAGTGGCAAACATGGTGCGGATGGCAGGCATCTTGTACGAAAAGTAGATTCCTATCCTCTTTTGATGATGGGCTCGTGACTAGGAGAGAGATTCGGATCTGAAGCATCTGAATCCGAATAGCTGTGCATCATCAATTCAGTGTAGTAGAAATCTTCGTCGTTTCCTAGATCATTTGCTGTCTGTTCATCAGGCACGTAGTATTCAGTTCTGCTCATGAAAGTATTGATACCCTGATGGCTAGTCTGAGAAGGGACTAGACGACTGTGTGATGAGCTGGCTTCATTTTGACTCTTGTGTTGGATCTTTACTTCCTTGAGATGGTTGATTAACTGTGTCTTGTAACTTTGATCTGGAGAATATGCTTCAAAGGTTCCCCAGAAATATGCTTCATTTTTTGACCATAGCTGTCCTGTGGGTTTCTGGAAATAAGGACGGCTGATGATGGCTATGAAGGTTAAGGACTCACATTGTTTTTTGGTCTGTCCCATTTGATTTCTTTGGAAGTCAAGAACCTTTTTTAACTCATTTCTCCACCACGGAAGAGGTGAAAACCATTCTAATAAAGTCAAGAATAAAAAATCTGCCTTATCTGGATTTATCAGAATATTATAAGCTGATTGTGTCTTTATGTAAAAATTATAATAAAGTATTGATACTGGGCATTGGGTATGCAAAAAGTTGTCTTATGTCTTTCGCTGGGTTTAACTCCTAACTGCCAGAATCCAGATTTGAGATCAAATTTAGAGAAGATTTTTTATTCTTTCAGCAAGATAGGTAGGGTGGATGTCTTGGGTAAAGGAAACTTGTCATCTTTCAAGAAATGGTTAAGAGGTTTGTAGTCAACGACTAATCTCTTCTTTCCCCTGAGTCTTTCTGATCTTTTCTCTACATAGAAAGATGGACATTGGTGAAGGATTTTTTTACTCTTGGCAAGCGGACCAAGCTTCGTTATAGTAATTTGATATCGTCCTTAGGGATTTGGTGATACTAGTAATTTCCTTTCTTGTTTGCGGAGAACATGAGTGAAATATTGATTTAAGTTTAAATTAGAGCAATTAAAATAACAGAATGAATGTAACAGAAAACCTTATATGAGAAAGAGATTGGATTCAAATGTACTTTCTAATTCTTTTAATCTTCATCAGATAAATATGATTCCACTTCTATCACTTCCATGTTCAATAATTAGCTCAACCAGATTCCTCAAAATTGAGCCCTAAGGTGGTTAACCCTAAACATGATTCCTCTATGATTTAAGATTAACACCTTGCATTAAGACAATAACTTGAACCAAAATGGCTAATAAAATCAAGTCTATTCCTAGAACAAGAGATTATTAGGTGAATGATTCAGTTCGGGTTTTGAAAATGTTTCCCAACAAAGTTCAAAAACCTAAAATCATAAAACGGGTGATCAAACCGGATTAAGCATTAAGAGAAGAATCAAATACAAGTAATAGAACTGAATATCATATAGATCTAAGAAGAAATAGAGTTAGTAGTTACATTGAATCCAACCCAAGAGAAACTAGCCACTCATGGTGAGGGCCATAGCAAATAAAAAGATGAGATTACACAATAGAAGAGAAGAAATGAAGATGGATCCTCATTCCCAAGCAAGCCAATCTTCAAGTCTAATCTTCAAGCTCTCCTCTTCTCCTGGGTGATCTTTCTCTCTATTTTTCTTTTTGTTTTTCTGTTTCTGTCCGGTCCCCCTTTTTCCTTCCTTTCGTGCCCTAAAATAGGTTCTGTCTAAGGGAAAGTTGCGATTTTTAACCCAAGGCTGCAGCTCTGGATTGGTGGCTGTAGCTCTGAATTTCTGGACTGCCCAAAATGTTCCAAGGCTGGAGCTCTGGTTTCATGGCTAAAGCTTCAACTCTCTGGAATACCTCTTTGTTTCGAGGCTGCAGCTTTGGCTCTGGAGCTATAGCCTTAACTCTCTGGAACACTTCTTTTTGGTTCAGGATTCATGGCTGCAGCTTTGGCTTTGGGGCTATAGCCTTGGATTTCCAACTTCATCAAAACCTACACAAAAAGGAAATATTTTCAGCCAAAGAAACTACACTCTTGTAACTCCTTAGATTAATCTTAGTTCATCTATTTGGAGGGTCAAATACAACCAAAATTACTTACATCTCTCCCAAAAAGAGTGCCAAATTAAGCATAAAAATATGCAATTTGAGCACTTATCAACTCCCCACATGCCCAATTTGAAGTTGTCTGTTCTATGAGGCCTTGTCTAAGCAGTTCTTGACATTCTTGTTTGGCTAATTTAAGATCAGACGGAGACATGTCTGGATGGGATGCTTTTGTGGGATTTACATCCTCGTTTAGCTTGAATGGCAGTTGTATAAAGAAATCAGGATTTTTCCAGAGTGGATTTGGATGAGTGAAATCTTTATGATTATCAGAACATAAAGACCTCAATTGTATCTTGATTTCTTCTAATTCTGGCGGAGCTTCAGAAAGAGAATATAGCTTACTAGTTGGCACGAAAGGCTTGAATTCTCCTTTGAATCTAAGTCCACTTGGATGAATGAGTAGCTTATGTGCTTGACTGAAGACATCCATTCCAATTAGGATATCTTTGTTGGGTAACTGAGTTCCAACGACTTTAGACCAAATTATGTAGTCTTTGAAGAGACGAATACCTACTGGTGCTTGGGAAATGACCTCTGTTTTGAAGGTTTTTCCATCAGCAGCTATAAAGAAGGTATCTTCCTTTCTCCAGAAATGAGGTGGCAAGATTTTTGGGTTCATCATTGTCTTTGATGCTCCTGTATCAAGAAAGCCTATAACTTTGATAGGCTTTTCATACTTAGATGGTAGGATTTCAATTTTCACATTGGGGTGTGAAGGAACAACAGTTGTCATACTGTCAAATTGATTGACAGCGAAGATAGGAATTGGTTCTTCCTCTTGACTATCTGTATCACTGCTAGAGTCATCTGAGAAAGAATCTTGTAGAGCAAATGCAGTATCTTCATCTGCAGAGCTTTGTTCTGAGTAGAGAGATTCTACTTCATCTCGGTCATTTAGATGTAAAGATGTAATCATCTTTATGGCTTTTTGAACTTTGTTTGGGCAGGACCTAGCAAAATGTCCCTTTTTCCCACAGATGTAACATCTTTGACCTGGTTTTTTCCCTCTAGTCTCCTTAAAAAACCTATAAGGTTTTTTATACTTCTTCTTCTTGAAGTGAGATTTGAACTTCTTGCCTTTGAATTTGTTTTTTGGACAGTGGCATCGGTCCTTGTCTTTGCATTTAATCTCCAAGAAGGGTTTTCTGCAAAATAATATGTGTGTGTAGGAGAAATACTAGCAACACACTCTTTTAATACACTATAGTACTATACTATTAGTTGAAATTTGTTAAAAATCACTGAATTGTGTGGCTGAGTCTCGTTCCTTATTTAATCAAACCTTAATTGTGATTTTGGATTTATCAATAAATTTAGCCCAATAAAGGAGATAAAAGAGAGTGTGTCAGAAGAAGTGTGTTCAAGAGTGCATTGTGCATTCATAGCACACCTTTCCCTCTATATATAATGTGAGAGGTGAGAGAAGTTAATCTCTGCTATACTATCATACATGCTTATTCAGATAAAATTCACTGTAAGCATTTGTAAGAGAAGAAAAATAAAATAAACTTCTTCATAAGCTACAATTAACTTATGCAAAAAACACATTTTGAAGAAGCAATGAGAGAACTTACTTCCATAAATTAACTTATCCATAAGCTAATTTTAGCTTTTGAAGATAATTTTTTTTGTTTCATTTTTCCGTTTTATTTTTCTCCTATGAGTGATTTTAAAAAGTCAGCACTGTTTAAATTTTAACAATCCATTTGAATTACTTGGTCGAGACTCACTCCTCTCACGCTCTCAGTATGATTCACACGCCCATATATATATAAAAGGATCGAATCTCAACCACATAGTCGAAATGGACTGTTAAAACTTAAAATTAAAAACTTTAATTAAAATAATATTGTGCATGAGCATATGATTGTATTGAAAAAATCCACTCATCTCGCCTCAAGCTCTCCGCAGATACATCACCATGCACACACACGAAAACGATTATTATCTAAATAATTGAAAGAAGAAGAAAAAACTAAACATTTCAGCAAGATTTCAGCATGCCTGGCAAATGCAGATTAAGATTGGAAGAACTTACGGCCTCAGAAGTATCGAGAGCGTTGATGCCACGGTCAAAAGCGTAATGAAGAATGTCGTGAGCTTCTTTCTCCGTGTTTTGCTCCCCAAAGGTCATCTGAAACCAACCAGAACGCAAATGAGAGAAACAACCGATAATAAGAACAGCAACGTCGTCGTTTTGTGCGGAAAGGAATGAATAAGAAAAACATAACTTACAGTACCAAGAGTGATTTCGCTTATGTTGAGGTCGGAGTCGCCGATGTTCCTGTACTGCAACGCGGCGTTTTTGAATGCGCAAAACAGAGGCCTCGTTCTCGCACCGCTCTCC